CCAAGTTTGAATCCGTCCCGGAACCCAGGCTCCATCTTTGAACCGGTTTTAGATGGTTTTACAAACTGAAAATGATCTTGACATTAAGAAAAAAGTCGATTTGTCGTTTTAGCGTAGACTCTGAGGAGAGTAAAACCACTTTCATCTGATGGATAACTAAGAAATCAAAATGAATCGGACTTTTCCAGAAGCACAACAACATTTCTTGACAACGATCAACTTCCATGAACGCTGCTGCATCTACTGACTTCCGGCGAAATATCTAATGTACTTGATGGACTTGACTCGATGATTTGGCACCAAAGTGTCTGGACAACAACTGGATGGATAAACAACAGGGTTTGAAGTACGGCTCGGCTCCCCTGAGACGTTTAGTGTCACAGATTATATTTGATCTTCTGAACATTCTGGTTCCTTAAAAAAAGTATTAATAGCAAATATGTCAATGTTGTGTGTTTATTCTCTCATTGCTTTCCATCTGTCTCCACTAATTGACACAATTCTGTGTGTTCCCGCTGTGGTCGTCCATGTGTGGCAGCGTAGCACTCAGATCGCTAGTTTTGCGTAGTGCCCCTGAACATCTCATCACTGAGTCAATACTTGAATTGACTTAAACAAGTGGTTTTTATTCAGTATGTTGGGGGGAGGGTGTGAGAGGACATTTCTTTCTACGTGATGATTTTAAGCAGTTATTTGATGCAATAAATATGGGGTGAGTATTTTATTTACAGTCTATGGTTGAGAAGTAACGACTGAAAGCTGAGACTGACTCAGGATTGGTCAAGACGTCCATCTTTATATACAGCCATCAACAGCTGATATTCATTTATTTATTTATTTATTTCCTTAACAGTTGAAAAAATATAATTTTCCTTTATACGTTCTCTAAGTTGTTCCCTAGTGTTGTTAACTGTACGATCAGCCATTAACTCTGCTGCTATAAATATGGATCAGTCACTTTCCATTCAGCCATCGAGCACAGAATAAACGTGATATTAACTTAATGTGAAGCGCTTCCTGTTTTTTATCTGACTCTTTTCTATTCACTTTAAAGCTGCAGCAAAGGTTACTGTTTAATTCTATTGTACCTGATTCCTCTGTGTCTTTAGTCCCAAATATTTCCTCTTCACCTGGATCCACGGCTGCCTGATGCCCATTGTGAATATGAGGAATAAAAGCAGCGCTGTGCTCCTGGGAGAGCGCGCTGACAATGGAGCAGCCTTGGCCTAGATGCAAATCATAGCCTCCCGTTCAGGCTGCACTGTGTGTGTGTGTGTGTGTGTGTGTGTGTGTCTTCAGAGGGGAGCACCATGCTACCTCCTCATTAGGTGGCTCTGATAGAAGTGCTAAAACCATGCTCCTGTGTGAAAAGAGAAAATGGAGGGATGAAGGGAGGAGAAAGAAAACAAGAGGGGAGGGAGAAGGTGGCGGAGGAAGAAGGGAAAAGAGTGAGAGGGAAGTAGAGGGACGGAGACTAAGTGAAGGCAGAAAGAAGTGAGGTGAGGACAAAGAGTGAGTGTAGATTGGAGGGAAGTGTGTGTGGACAAGTGAATTGTGTAAGTTTGTGTGACTGAGTCCCAGCATGAGGACACACACACACACACTGAGGTGGCTGAGTTTCAGGATTAGTAGTTTAATTGGTACCTCAAGGAATAGAAGAGATGTAACACTGGAGTAGTACCAGTGGTGAGCTGCAGGGCCGTGGTGACACACACACACACACACACAGACACGCACACGCACACACACACACACACACACACACAATCTTTGTTAGGACATTGCAGTAACTTCCATTCTTTGTGAGGAGCCGAACCCAAACTCCACTTTTGAGCTGGACCTTAGAAATGACATTTGTGCCTCATTATATCCAGGCTTTGGTCCCTATGAGGACTCAGGTGTTTCCAACGGACACACACACACACACACACACGAAGACACACAATACAAAACTCCCCACACCTCAAGCTTTACTGCAACGTGCGGCAAAGCTTTAGCGAAGACACCGACGAGGGGACTGATACTGTGAGGAGAAGCTTAGACACACACACACACAGGGGGATAAATTCAGAATAACTCCATTAGGTTTTCCTTAAGGACTATAACGTCTATTTGTAGAGCGCAATGAAAAATGTGTCTTGAACAAAAGGAAGATCCTCCCCTGGATCCTTGAAGTCGGTTTCACTGAGTCACACAGAGCGAGCAGGGCATCTCGGAACCATCAAGTGTCTGTGGGCTGTATTTTATGGAGCATCCACACCGTCGCCGCCTGAACAAGTGCTCTTTAGTTTGCAAAAGCCTCATTCATAAGGCTCATGTTGTATTAAATGACTTAACCCGTCGGCTCCGCGGCACAACGGCTTCACCTTCTCTCTTTGCTTCACATCTGTTCACAGTCTGATCTGATGACTCTGGCTTCAATGTAATTCTGGTGCTTTACACATTTCACTGGACAGAAGCGTTTCTCTCAGATCAGCGATCCTATTTTAACACCCTTCACACATTAATGGCTCCCTTCCCCTCGGACGAGAGGATACGACTTCTCCTGGAAGATGGATGGCAGAGGTGTGTATAAATAGAGCGGTGAGCGGGGACGACAGAGAGAAAACGGGGAATGACGGATGGAGACAGGATATAGAGAAATGAAGCTGTGGGACAAAGTAAGGGGGGGGGGGGTGTTCTGCAGCTTTAATCAGTGTCATCAGGCCTGTAGCCAAAACAATGAGCAGCTGAAAAGAGCTGCAGAGAGAGAACATGCCAAAAGGATAGAAGAAAAATAAGTAAGCGCTCACAGTTGAAGTTAAACTGGAATTAAAATGAATTGCTGCGAAGGAGAACATATTAATATCCCTGATGTTTGACTTAAATTATATTCTACATCCCTCAGTTCCATCGATTCCCTATACCGCTTATCCTCTGAGGGTCACATGGGTCGCTGGAGCCAATCATTGGGCCAGAGGTGGTGGGGGGGGGGGGGGGGGGGGGGGGGCCTGGAAAGGTTGCCAGGCGTATCCATGGCCGACAGAGAAAAACAACCATTTACACCAACGGGCAATTTAGAGTCTCCAATTAAGCAGAGTGCCACGGAGCTGTTAGAAACGTGGGAGGGAGCCTCACAGACACGGGCTGAGCATTTAAACTCCACAGAGCTGTCATGTAGTCTTTATTTACAATATATCATTTTCGCATGTAACCCAATGATTGATTGACAGAATGGACAGAGACTTTATTGATCTAGAGGGAAATTTTGTTCTCTCGTTTCCATTCTTTGTGCTCAGCCACATTAGCCAGCTGCTGGTGCTGGAGTTTCATATTTCATATTTGAGAATGGAATCAATGAAAATTCATATTACCCGAAAATACTGGATGGCCTAAATCTCCACATGTGCCCGTTGTCGTGATTTGAATTATCACCGGACACTGTACGTGCGGAGGTTACAGGATTCTTCTTGTTAGTGAGTTATGCGGTTATTGACCACGGCTGGACCTCTGGAGGAGTCACAGGTGAGACGAGCTGGACTCTCCCCATTTTAACAATGCAGTGTGTGTGTGTGTGTGTGTGTGTGTGTGTGTGTGTGTGTGTGTGTGTGTGTGGTCAGCAGCTGTTGAATGAACATGAACAAAAAATGCGGTTGGAATCATTAATTTTCATTATTTGAGGATACAACGATGACTAGAACATGTTGAGTTGCATTATGGGAAGTGTGGTCGGATTTCATAAACTGATCCATACCAGGAGTTAACAGTCGGGATATCTCTGAGTCTGATGCATTGATTCCAACCAGTGCTTCATTATTTATTTCTTTAATCAGCCGAACCAACGGTCCTGCAGAAGTCGAACTGTACAGACGGCTCATTGTGTGTTCTCATTAATGTTGGTGAAAACACACAGTGTGATTTAAATCACGCACTTACACTTTAAGAGCCAGTTCGCTTTTGTCCAACAGGTTATACACAGACCATTAACACTGAAGCACCTGATTCTCCATCACAGCAGCAGTGAAACGCACAGAAGTCACAAACTGTAAATCACGACCACTTTGTTCAGAACATCGTGATTATTTATTGTTGTTCACACGCAGTTTTGTGAACAGGTCACGAGTGTAAGTCCAGCGAGGGATTTCAGAGCCAAGACTTCGATTTGCGGTATTGTTCAGATGTTCGCGCCCTATTGATATCAGATATTACACCGACTGTGCAGTTGTAAAATGCTTGTCTAAACTTTTCTTTCCAGAAGCTTTGCATATTCATTTCCAGCTCAGAGAATTTGAGCTGCTTCTCTCCGGAGAGCTTCTGTCTTTGTTTTCTAAAGCCCCTCTCCAAAAGTAACTGGATTCTTACTAATACTGACTTAACCACCCTGTGGGGTTTACTGATGCATATTCCAATACTGAAACTCTGCAGACGTCCGATTTAACCCTCTCCGAGGTTTGGTTTGTGCCTCTCGTGTGGGCAGTTGTGGAGGACGGACTGAAACATCTACTTAACAGACAAAAATGTACTCAAGTAAAAGTACCACATTAACTTTTTTAGTTGAGCAAAAGTAAGAAAGTATTTGCTTTGAAGGATACGTAGTTAAAGTACTTAAAGAGAGAAGCCTATTTACTTACACAATGGTCAACTACATCATTACTGTGTTCTCAAGGATGCAGCCACTGAATTCAGACACAGATTATGTTGCACCCTCATATTAATCAATCTTTAATAATTGAATCTCGGCTGTGTCCTTTACATCATCAGTCCATTTGTGATGTTTCTTCACCAGTGAAGGCGACGCTTTGCTCTCGTTGAAAGAGGCGGGGTCTAATGTTACCCGTCCACTCTGATTGGATCAGTGGATTGTTTATTACTTTTAAAGATATAAAAAATAATGTGAACTTGTGACACAGTGCATTTTAAAACAATAGTGCAGTAGCGCGTACTGATGTTTGATATGTACTTTGTCACACCCCCCCACCCCCAACCCCGGGTGTGTGTTGTGTATGTGTGATTGCACTGACCTGCAGATGGAGTGGATCTCGTGCGTGTCCTCGTCTTTGCGGGCGTTGTCCGTCAGACTGTCGCCCAGCGCCAGCAGACACTGAGCGAAACCCTTATAGATGGAGTGACACCTTCTGGCTGAAGCTGCAGTCACAGGACACGGACTGAGCACTGGAGAGAAAACACACGGACACAGAGGAGATGAAATGAAAGTGGATCTTGTTGTGTGATGTGATCTGGGGAAATCAATTTAAAAGGTTCAGTGTGTAAGAAAAATTGAATATAAAATAATCCTAGCGATGTTTCCACTGGTGTGTTTCATCTAAAGTGTATGAATTGTAGTTTTCTCTACCATAGAAATGAGCCCTTTATATTTAAATACTTTATATTTACACGGAGGAGGCTGCCATGTTTTTTTACTGTCGTCCAAACTGGACAAACTAAAACCTTTTGAGTTTTCATGACAACGGAAGTTCACCACACGTTCTCTGTCATGTTGGGAAGGGGAGGGTGAGACGAGGAGCGTTCAGCTGCAACATGAAACTTCACCTCTAGATGTCACTAAATTCTACACACTGAACCTTTAAGCAGGAGTTGACGCCGTTTCTCCACAGGCGGCTGTTTCTCTTTCTAACAGCTGCGGCTGTTGGACCAGCGTGAGATGAGACAAGCGTTCACATAACCAGAGCGTGTGTGCAGCTGCGTGGAGGCAGTGACACTGCTGTCTACACAGCTGCTTGTTTCAATGATAGACCGAGAGGCTGAGTATGATCCATCATACACACAGAGCTGCAGACAGCCGCGGGTCTATCCTCCATCCTCTCAATCATTCAGTGTTCAGAGTCGGCGCTTGATCGATTGCTCACATCAAAGATGAGACACATCACGGCTCATTGACCAGGAGATGGAGATATAACGGAACAATGACAGACAGACACACACACACACACACACACACAACTCATGTTTGAATGCAGCCAGGACACAGTCGCGCAAACTAGCTGAAACCAGAAACACATTTTAAAACCTGTAAAGTCTCAACAGCCAGTGGCAGGTCAAGAATTATTCTAAATCAGGGGCCACAGTTTACACTGAGGGGCCAATAACATGTCCAGCATCCATGCTCAACTCCTGGTTCTTCAAAAAAGCTTCGAAAAATAAAGATTCTTAACAAATGCAGGAATATTTAAGTCTTGTGGAGATGTAGATGCAGAGGACAACGTCTGTCTGGCAGCTGATAAGAAATGTGAGGAGACCATCAAAGACCATCAAAGACCAGTGATTCACCCATAGACTTTATATTAAGATCAACAACACGTCTCCACTGTTAGTGAGCGGTGATGTCGTCCATGTTTACCAACATTCCTGATAATTGTCAACAATCTTCATTGAGACTCGTCCACCCGAAGCAGAAACTCTTGAAATTACATGTTTCTTTGACCAACATGAGAAACATTAAACGCACCAGACAAACACTCGCAGCTTCGATGTCGAGAGAAAATGATATCACAGCCTCAGATACCTGATTTCTTTAATGCAGGCTTTTATGACGACCGTGACAGGCTGAATAAAAGAAGTGAAACCCTGTGTAATTCAAGTCAAGGACATAAATTAGAAAGAAAATAGATATATATTAATAGATATTTCTGAACAGCAGCGACAGATATTTATCCTGCAATTCAAGTTGAAACAGCAAAAGAAAAAAAAAAAAGAAGACATTTTTCAATGCAGCGTCAAGAAACTCTGCAGAAACTCAAATCCTCTTTCTGACAAGGATCCGAGCAGCAGCAGCAGATCTGTCAGGTGTCAGGCAGCGGCCCGAGCATGTTGTCAGGTGTCAGCACAGTTTGTCAGGACACTTGGTGACGGAGAACGATCACGACATGGGTCAGTTCTGTTCGTGTGACGGCTCCGGGGGGGAAGTGACACGTATGACATATCTAAGCTTCGGCAGGAGAAAGAATTTTATCCTGCAAATGCATTTGAATGGCAGGTGTGAGGATGCAATGGAGGATGTTTTATAATTTGGTTTTCTGATTTTACACATTTTTGGACTTCAATTCTGTATTTTTCAGAGTAAAAGATTCTACAGAGGGAACAAAAACGAGCAGGAAACAGTGAGGAAGAAATAAATGTTTGTGTTATGTAAGCGCTATACTCAAAATGCTCCTCACAAACATTAGTACACGTACACACACACACACACACACACACAGTCTCACAAGTCATTTACTTTGTACAAAGCTATTTACAGCGTCTCACCAAAGCCCAGAGCTCTTTATTGAGTCAAGATTTCTTCAGAGAGGTGTGTGTTTGCTTGTTGTGTTCAAAATGAAATAATAATTAACCACCGTGCACTTGTTCTGCACCACAGTTTACAGACGTTTGAATTAACGGCAGACTAAACTTTTTATGTACACACAGCAGAGAAGCAGGTCTCTTGTGGGACGTGTTTGATTAGACTGATCCCGTCTCATCTTTTAAACACCAACAAATGAATGTGAATCAGAGGCCTGAGTCTTTCAGGAGTGTCATGAAAACAGCAGCAGGAATTATTCCATCACAGGCTTTTAACTTTTAACAAATCTTCTTCATCCTCTCACCACACACACACACACACACACACACACACACACAGCTTCAGTTTGCTCAATCACTCAAGCACTGGAGTCTTTAACGAGTTAAGCATGTGGCCTAAAGAGCATGGACAAGGTGCACGAAAAATAAATAAAAATAAAACCCGTCTTCTAGAAGTTTTACAATAAAAATGTGTTCGATATTTAAATAGACATTTTTATGAATGTTAAATTGTTCTGCTGTTCCAGACTTTTCACATGTCCACGCTGTTTTTAAAGCAGATCTCTTAAACACTAAATAAACGGATAATAATTAACGATTCAACTGAGCGAAGACTCTTTGATTCCCGACAGCGGTGATTATTCTTCCATCTCAGAACAACATGCCGAGACTCTGTGATGATAATTGGGAAATAAAAACTAAACCCTCTGATCTCTGTTATTAGAAGAATTATCCACACGCACTATTTAAATATGTCCCATAATTATAAATGAAAATTTCAGTCAGATTAACTAATTACTGCTTCTTCTCTTTGCTGCAGAAACATTTTGATATTACTTTTTTTTTTAATCTGCATCACAAATTCTTAATAGTTTGTTCAACTTAGAGCAAAATACTTTGAAAGAAAGTTAATAATCAAACAATACTTGTATATTTTATATTGTTATTATTTTAGTTTTATATTAAGATCATATAATTTCATCAGTGGGAATTTTTTGAAAACCTGATTAATGCAAGTTCAATTTTTCACCTTGTTTTGGTCTCACCCAACTTTCCATTTTCACTCTTGGTAACTTTAGTTCTAGAAGCTCGTCGGAGGCATTTGAAGAGATTTTGAGGGACCCAAGCAAAAGGGACCTTTTCCATCTCTGTGAACGAACCTCAGCCGCTCTCGGGGCCCCTTCTCAGCTCGGGGCCTCTCGCAATCGCTTTTCCTACCTTGTTGCATTGCGAGGTCAGACGATCTACAGTGGATTTGTTGAGAGCATTGTTTTTGTTTAAACTGAATAATTTTATATTCACTGTGCACATTTGCTCACAAACTCAGCCGGTTTCTAAAGCTCAGCTTTCAGGAGTGTTCCTTTCCCTGAGGAATCTCAAGCCCGGTAACACAAGAAGCCGAACAACGCTTCTAAAGAGTTTGCTCGTCCCCGGAGGAGCCTCGTTGTTGACAGCCAGCTCTCCTGCTGAGCGAAATCATTTTGGAGCTGCCAGTGGCCGATATTTCACGGAGCTACGATGGTCCTCTTCAAGGGTGTGACAGGCACAGATGCATCATGTCATGATTAGTGTACAAGACGGTGAGGATGAAGCTCGTGAAGAGTGTGCGACTGTCCCAGAAGTGGTTTGTCGTGACGAGTATAAGTCAGAGTGGAGCCGCGGCTGCAGCCTGGCAGGTGAACAGGAGATGCTAATTGGGTGAGACACAGCTTCACCACAACTCTTCCCCCTCCTCTCCCCAGAGACCTGCTCTTTAATATTTGATAAACCAGACGTTCTCCCACCCCCCTATTCTCTTTGCGTTGTTTTGTTTTTTTCCACCAGGAAACCTATTGATTTCAAGCAGGGTTGTTCACAGGCCCTGAAGATTATTGGCTTCACTCATCTCCATCAAGTTTTAATGAAGACCTCAGGAGGGAAAACAGCAGGAGATGGAGGAGACAAAAAAGACGTGTAGGAGAAATTGGAGAGGAGGTGGAGATGATGGGATGGACGGAAGCGAGTAAGTGACCAAGAGTGTGAGACTCAGTGATTATAGGTGAGAGGTCACAGCAATACGCCATTTTATTTCTTGTTTTAATTTACTTTTCTGTTTGTGTTTCGTTTAGAACAAATTAGAAACATGTGCATTTGTGGGTTTTAGGGTTTGTTGTTTTTTGAAAGTCTTATCAGATTAGCAATTTCCCTTTAAAATTCTGGTGTTTATGCTAAGCTACGCCTCCCATGACAAGGCTCCAGCTATAAAATAAATGATCTTCTCATTTCAAAAGGGTTTATAGCATTGAATAAAAACAATTTCTAGAAAAAGGTGAAATATTACTAACTAGCGCCGTCAAGCGAAAGACAACGATTCGTAATTTAAAGACGACTAACTGCTCTACGTCAAACCGTTTCTCAAACTGCCAACAAGCTCCGAATGATTTACCACGATATTTAAATATAAATTATGTCTATTTCAGCCCATTATATTGATTAAATGGAACTCCACTAAATGCAGGGTACTCCCCAGATGAACTGATTTGAATTTCTACGCATCTTTGGATGAGGTCCTTTTCAGAAAAGTGCTGTATGATTATCTCCACCAGCCACTATTCAAACTGAGACGAGTTCAGCGGGGCAGTTGGGAAATCAAGCCAGGGAGGCACATCTGTTCAATTGGCAGGAATTTGTTGTTCCTGGTTTGGCTTGTAAACTCATTTTCTGTTTGCAAAGCTTGATTGAACTTCTCCCCCCCCCGTGCTGAAGTGACCAGAGTATCTGACAGGCTACGTGGCCTAAGGCTGGTTTCACACCTGTTCTTAGTTCGGTTACATTAGACTCTGTTTGCACAAAGACCCTTTAGCGGAGGGGGTCTAACTCCCAAACAAACTCAG